ACAGCACCGTTAGTTACAGTGGACAGAGGGACGACATTTGGGTGTTTCGACATTGTAGAGGGATGACAAGTGGAGTTAATTAATGGTAGAGGGACGACATGAAACCAATCCATAGTAGAAGGTTTAGAATGCACTATTTTTGATAGTAGAGGGACGATAGATGGCCTTAACCCTTTGGGAGACGAAGAGTTTTTGACGTTAGGGGTTTATAACTTTATATAACTTTATACATGGGTTTGGAAATTGGACTTTGGATACGGCCCAAACAATGGAAATCGGACTTCGGATTATCAGAGAGGCCCAGCTGGTGATTTTGTTTTGTGGTGTTCCTTGAAATTTCTTGGAATAAATAAATATCAAAATTTGGTCCTTAAACTTTTCAAAAATGTTCACTGATAATCCTTAAAGAATTTCTTCCTTCTTGATGGTCCTGCAACTCTGTCTCGGGGGGGGTGATTCATCTAGTGTGATTTAATCAACCAATTTTTGTGCTTATTGATTACGCCACTTCAGTCAAACGTGGTATACTTTCTTCGGAAGGCTTTTTTGCAATTTGAATCGTATTGTCTAAGGGAATGGCAAGTATTGATAAAAGAGGATGACCACACATCTATGTTAATTGGAAAATGATTTTTACATCTTTCGGTTTAACATATTTTTTGAAATATTTTGATTTAATTATTAAAAATATAATATAAATACAATCAATTTAATCGATTATTATATCATGTGTGTATGATTGTATCATTAAACTTATTTATTTTTAATTTCAAACAAAATAATAATAATTTTTTAATAAATATGTTATGCAGTGTGTTGAACCGGAGTATATACTAATCACTGTCCATATTAATTATATACAATTTAAAATAATATAAATTGTACAAAATACTTTTATATTCGGTTAAACATTGTCTAATTAGAACATTACTAGTAGACGTCAGAAATTAGTAAATTCAAGAAACCAATAGTTTCTAAGTTTTATTAAATGCACAGCGGGATCTGTGCAAAATGCGGTTAAGCAAGTAAGGATGTTGTGTTGAAGAAGAAAACGGTGATATAGCCGCTCCCGTCGGTTCAGTGCGTGCATGCAGAAACTTCTGTACGACCAACATATATAAAATCGAAGATTCCTTTTAATTAATTCTTCTGCTAAGAATGGATCTCATCCCATCTAAATCTAATTTTGTCCATCTAGTTTTGTCCTTTATATAATATGCATATTCGATCACGTTTGACTTTCAAAATACTTCCAAAAATAATAAAATTAAAGATATATTATACCCAAAACAAAATGAATGTTATACTGCTCCTATTCTTCATGTCCATATAATGTCAGATCTGATCATTTTCTTTTTCTGTGCAAAAATAAAGTTTCATGTGTAATGGAGCTTCTCTTGGTAAAAAGCCATGCACTGCCACCAAAAATAGTCCTATTAGTGACCATACCCCTACTTCTTCTCACAATTATGCCCATATCTTACCCTATACTAGGGTACCCTGTATATTTGTTGAAGCACTATTATTATTCCACTAGTTCATCAGTGTCTTCATTACCATCTGTACAAGATCAGGCGCCGGCACCGGCTGGAAAGGAAGGATCAGGAATAGTTGATGACGATGAGGGGATCAACAAGTACTGTGACATATTCTCCGGAGAATGGGTGCCAAATCCAGATGCACCGTATTACACGAACGAGACATGTTGGGCGATCCAGGAGCACCAGAACTGCATGAAGTATGGAAGACCGGATACAGGGTTCATGAAATGGAGGTGGAAACCGGATGGATGTGAGCTGCCAATCTTTAACCCTGTTCGGTTCCTGGAAATTGTAAGAGGGAAGTCGCTGGCATTTGTTGGAGATTCGGTTAGCAGAAACCAAATGCAGTCCTTGATTTGCCTCCTTTCCCGGGTAGGTGATCATCATCATTTCCTAATTTCTACCTACCATCTAAATCATAATGCATAAATTAACATCTATATTTGAATATACATATATGCATTATATTTAATTATGGATATGCTAGCTGTTTAAGATTTCAAACATTAATTCTCTTTTATTGTTATTTGTTTTGTTACATTTAAACATTTTAATTTTGGGTACTTACCATCAGAAATTTCTTTCCCACCACTGTTAACCATTTAATTCTAATTAATTTAAAATAAAAAACCAAAATTAATTTAGTGGACGGAGGTAATATATATTCTCATTTTGCTTTTAATCATTCTACTAGTAATTAAAAATTTGTTCTATTCTCATGTTCTTTTCCTGCCCCCCATGATTGTCTTTGTTTCTCTTCCAAGTCAATTTGATTAACAGCAATATAGT